TATGCTTTATGGGTAAATCCCTGCACATTGCAGTATGCTAGTGTCTCAGGAATATAAGACTGATCCAGTTACAGCAAGACAGCAATTCACTAGGCATCGACTTGTAGCCGGCTCCTGAGCCTGTGCCAAGTAGGATGTTCGAGTCAGGAATTTAAGGTCAGATTCTCCTATTCTTTCTAGTGAAATAACCATACAGTTTAAATGCCCACTGGCAATGCTGGCAAACAGTGCATAAAATAACCAAAAAGTAAAAATTCTAAGACCCCATTAAAACAAAAGGCAACTGTTCAAGTCCTACCTCCCCTTATTCGAAATGCATACCCCCCTCCCCCATACATAGAGTGTGGGAATGGAATAGGGCCTTTAGTCTTCTCTCCTAAATTAATACGAGTCTGCAGTTACCTGTTTTTGACATCATAAGCTATATTTGGTGAGAGGAACATTTGATTTAAATTTCATTGTTTAATAGTTTGCCCATTGCTAACAGAGACAATGCTGCTACAATGTTGCATTAGCAAAGCTGAACATTCAGGATAATTACTTAACAGCTAATCAGCATCAATAGAATCAGAATACAAAATGGCGCACTCTGATTTTTCTCAAACAGGTTCAGGTTAGTAGATGTTTTCCAACACTCACATATATTAATTAGTCATAATGCATGAGCTGTCATAACCTGACCTAACAGTAAAAGTTCTGTGAATAATCCCCATCTTGTTATTGTCTTCTAAATCCCATGTGACTTATCACATTGAATTCATTTTTTAATCATTTCACCTAAGGCAGTTTCATAATTTAATAAAATTTCTTAGAAAAGGGTTTACATTATGATGCATGAAAATTGAAAAAGAAAAACATGAGTAATCATTACAACTGTTTTATTCAGCAAACAAACAATTCAAAGGGAAAATAAATATATGATTAATGCATTTTATTAAAAGTGGATTTCACAATTTGTATGATATACAGGTAAAGCAGATATTTAAAAGGGCACGGTAGACACCAAAACCACTATAGCTTAATGTAGTGGTTCTGGGGATGATAGCCTGTCCCAGCAGCCTCAGCAGCGTAAACACTGCCTTTTCTGAGAAAGTGACAGCCACTGGAGGGACTTCCTGGGTTCCATCCTGTATGGATTGCATTCACTGCATCTCTGTGAGGAGTGCAGTGATTTGCTGTACATCCACACTATTCTCTTAATGTTTAGGTTTAATGAAGCAATGGATTGGCCAATGTAAGAATGATTGATAATCTCAACCATTGAGGCTTGAGGAAAGCACGGAGACCAATTCAGAAATGGCTAAGAGGTAAGTAAAACATATTTTTATTGCACACAGGGAGGGGGGACTCATCGAAATAATTAGTTGAACAGTGTAAAAAAAAAATCAAAACACGTTTGTATTCCTAACAACATAGTGTTAAACCCTAATTAATGCTTCTAATGGAACCACAGCTTTAAATGGGTCATGCCATCCCACGCACATTAGAAGAAGTTTGACAGGTAGCATCGCAAGATCGACAGACATGCTGTTCATGTGCGCTGTGCTGATAACCTGCTCTCGTGAAGAGAGAAATTACCTGGCAAAAATTTGCAAAGCCATGAGCATGTTTAATGACCTACTTTTACTTTATGAAGACCCTTTCAATGATGTCCTCAGATACAGGCAATCAAAGAAAAAGCTACGGACAACAAGATAATTATTTCAAATTAGGACTGTCTTGACAGGCCCAGGACAGTTGGTAAGTATAATGTCAACTCAGTGTTTAATGAATAAACCTTGAATAAATATAGCTTGTTTAATAACATACATTTAGTAAGCCAGTAATCTCAACACCAACATATCCACTTGAATCTACTGTGTAACAAAATGGTGAGCACACCCCATCCTGCTACCATAGCTAAACAACTTTTATAGATCATTAAGCAACAAATTGCTGTGATTATGCATATTCCCATGTTTGTGGCTGGCTGGAGACATTTGTGATAGATGCTTTAAATCGATGCAGTCATTTTATAAAATCCAAACCTCTTATGGGATAGCGAGGCCCCCAAAAAAGCATTGGTTTCCTTCCAGCAATCCTTAAGCTCTATCACTAGAAGACGTTATTGTTTTTTTAAGATTTGGCCCTTTCTTGAAACCGACTAATAATAATGATGTCCAGATCGAGGCATGGGAACATTTTGGAATAATGTGCAGACTGTATTTAGCATGATTTATTACTCAGATATTATCACTAAAAGAGGCAAGGCTTGCTTAGAAAAAAAATCCTTATTATATTCTTAATGCCAGACCAGAAATCCTGTGATTATTGAAAGTGCTGATATTTAAACAGCATTGTAATAGTACAATTAACCCAGGCGTATGGAACACTCAAGTGGTGCTAAAATGGGAAACAGTGAGACTGGTGACATTCTACGATTTAAATTGTAATATTATTTATACTATAATGTGTGTTGCTGTAAATTTGGTTTGTAGTCACTTAAGAATGAAATAAGTTAAAAGTCTAATGCTGAATTCACTTGAATCCCATACATTCTGTCAAATGAAAATAATGAAAACAATATAAAGCATGAATTTTGTTCTAAAAGTTTATAATTTTTTTAATTTTCGTTATCTTGTCCTTGTTCTTTTGTGTCATCATACTAGAATGCCATAATAAATAAATAAAGAAATAAAACTATTTAATAAATAATTTAGTATAAACCACAAAAAGTATGATGATGGATTTATGTTGGTCATGAATGCCTGTTTGAAGGAAATATGCATTAAAAAATAATTATAAAACAGGAGATTTATGCATGAATACATCTTTATTTAAAATGCTGTAAAACAGTAATTTGTTGTGAAAACGATACATTCATTAAACAAACACACGTGATCCTGAAGATGTCCATAGAACATGCCTGCTCCCATCAGTCATTCAAGATATGCGAGTTGCCGTATTATTCCAGTAATGTAGATACAAAATAATGAAGTATGGCAGTTTCTTGTGAACCCTTATTTATTGGATTGACAGGAATTTGCAGTGACACATTTTCAGAGTTCCTCCCTTTGTCAAGTCTAACAGGGTTATTCAATAAAGTGATAAGTAGAGTTGAGCAAACCTGGACTGTAAAGTTCGGGTTCGTACCGAACATTAGGTTTTTGGACCCCTGACCCGAACATGGACATATCACTGTATGTTCGGATTGGAGTTCGGTGTTCGGCGATTTAATGGCACGTTTTCAAAGGCAGCAGGGCAGCCAATCAACAAGCGTTTGACTCGTGTGCCCTTAGAAGCCATCACAGCCATGCCTACTAATGGCATGGCTGTGATTGGCCTGTGCAGCATGTGACCCAGCCTCTATATATAAGCTGGAGTCACGTAGCGCCGCACGTCACATGAGCTCTTATTAGTGTAGGGAGAGGATGCTGCCGCTTTCAGGGACAGATTAGGAAAGAATTCTGCAAACTAGTACATTAGTGGGGTGCACTTCATATCTGAGAGTCAAAGAGACGCGTCAAATACTGCGGTTACATCGGAGTTTTAAAAAGTAAAAATTTTTTGGTGCTATATAGTACATTAGTGGGGTGCACTTCATATCTGAGAGTCAAACAGAAGCATCAAATACTGCTGTCACATTGCAGTTTTAAAACTTAAAATTTTTTGGGTGCTAAAAAGTACATTAGTGGGGTGCACTTCATATCTGAGAGTCAAAAAGAAGCATCAAATAGTGCACTTCATATCTGAGAGTCAAATAGAAGCGTCAAATAGTGCGCTTACAGCGCAGTTGTAAACATTCTAATTGTTTTGCTGCTAAACTGCTAAATAGTAAATTTTGGGCATGCTCTTCATATCTGAGAGTCAAATAGAAGCATCAAATAGTACGCTTACAGCGCAGTTGTAAAAATTCGTATTTTCTGGGTGCTAATCTACTAAATAGTACATTTTGGGCATGCTCTTCATATCAAATAGAAGCGTCAAATACCAATATAACAATATTGTAATTCGGGGGCAATACCCTCACAAGTCAAACTGAGAGGTCAGTTTATAGGGAAAACTGTTGCCTGGATACAATTCTAAAACAATTTCCATATGTCCTTTGCAGACTTTACGTGCTGGAAAAACACAGGTGCCAACTGCTGTGGCTTTCTGCATTGTGCAGACCGGCAATGAGGGCAGGGTTGAGGAGTGGGTGGAAGATGATGTGGAGGATGATGAGGTCCTAGACCCCACATGGAATCAAGGTCATGCGAGTGACGTGTGCAGTTTGGAGGAAGAGGCGCTGGTCGCACAGAGGCACCAGCGCAGCATAAGAGGGAGCAGGTTGCAAAAGTGGAGCGGACGTCCCCTAGTGCTCATCGGCATGTATTATCTTTAGAATTCCCACAGTTGTCCAAGTAACAGATGGAGCAATAAAAGGAACCATAGCAGATTTAACAAGCCATTCGCAGTTTCGCAGTCCGGTGACCGGGACCCAGACACTGTCTGGGCGGCGGTCGGACGACCGGGGCCCAGTATGCCTGATGTTGAAGTTATGAGTCACAGTGTGGAATTTATTAGCAGGGTCTGGTGCAGGGTAACCACATGCCCCCTGGTGTTGAGCACCAGCGTTTGTGCCGCCACATACCAGGACCCTGATGCAGCTTCAGTAAAAAGAGTACTGGATACCAGAAGCCATCACCAGACAGATCCGCAACTTGGAACAGGATGTGACATTCACTGTAGCGGCTCTGCGTGCTTTCGGTCTTCTCACCATGCTGCTGCTCGCCTGTCAGCGCTGCAGCGTAACTTTGGCCTTCCCGCTCACCGCCTCATATGCGACGTGCTCACAAGGTGGAACTCCACCTTGCACATGCTGGAGAGACTGTGCAAGCAGCAGCAGGCGATAGTAGAGTTTCAGCTGCAGCACGCACGGGTCAGTCACTGTGCACCAGACTTGCCCTCCAATTGATCAGAGTTAAAGGATTTCAAGTGGACTCATTATAATTACATTATAATCCTGTATTGTTATTTGTCGTCACTACCTCCCCGCGTCGGGAGTGGGTCATTTGCGTGCCAGCTGCCTTCCTTGCATGTGGTAGCCGTTTGTCAGAGTTCCTGTATGGAATCGAACCTTGATTCCCCATTACCCGTGGTCACCATGGTAGGTGCAGTAAATGGCATCGAAAGTTGATGTGGATTGACATACGAATGCGTCGTCGCCTTGTCGTTGAGAAGTGTGCTGCTGGTTAACCTCTTGATCCCAATTAGAACGTTGTGGTTAACCGCAGACACTTCTCAATTAAAACCGAATGCAGGGTGGTCGTCGTTCGTATGTCGACCACGAGGCGGCGGCCATTTTAAACAAGCGAAAGACCAGCGGTGTTCAGCCCAGATTCTATGGAACTGAAAACTGACACTTTTTCCGCCGAACACCACTGAAGCCGCCGACCTCCCTTCTCAATCAACAAAAGTATACGAACACCAGCCATTCGGGAGTTTGAAACGCACGAATGGACTTAACCCAGATAGCCTTCCCATGGAGTCAATCGCATACCGAAAGACTGTAATAGACTTTGACTCCATGGCGATTGAACTATGCGTATGGGATCTGAGCGCTATTCGCCAATAATATGCACTCAGATCCAGGCTATCTGGGGATATGTGATACGAATGAGAAATGTTCGGCAATTATAAAGTTATGTATTTTTATGTGTTTTTATGTGTTTTTTTGTGTTACATTTAAAATGGCGATTTGCCTCTGTCCTGGAGATAACTGAATTACTTCTCAATTATCTCCAGGGCAGAGGGGAGGAAACCATGATGCATGCTGGGAATATTAGATGCCTGTGTGTCCTAACATGCCATATGTCTGTCTGCTATTACAGTCTCCCATTTGGTCCCCTAGGGGAGTGTCCACTAAGTGGGAGACCTGCATAAATACGGGCCGGTAGCCCACAGTAAACCCAGTTCATGTTTTACCCTCAATGCGGAGCTTGGTCTCGTTATTGGGGGGGATTTATTACCGACGACTAGAGACTGCCGGATGGGATTATTAGCCGCTTGAGAGATATATGCGTTCGGCTACTAGCGGCGATTCGTGAGTTTGAAACTCGTGAAGTGAAGTACCCGTACGGGTCCCGTTCGGGAGATTACAGCGTTCCCCTGCTTGCGGTTTGTATGATTGCAGTTGATACGAATGAAGCCTGCGTTATTGCGAGAGGGGAGGATTCACTAAACGGCGGTTTGTACATTTGATGCCGAGGGTACCATTACAACAGCCATGCTTTAGATTTTGATTTATGTTCTTCCAAAGCTAAAATCAAAGATTCCATCTAGTGCTATTTTATGGCTCAGCTGTATTTTATTTTTTTATGTTATTTTAAGTGATTTCCCTATCCACATTTTACTTCCTTTTGCAGCCCTCTAGCCCTTTCCATGACTTTTTTAGAGGCATTTTAGTGCCCAAAAGTTTGGGTCCCCGTTGACTTCAATGGGGTTCGGGTTCGGGGTCAAGTACGGGGTCAAGTTTGAGCCCGAACCCGGACTTTTTTTCAAAGTTCGGCCGAACCCGCCGGACCCGAACATCCAGGTGTCCGCTCAACTCTAGTGATAAGTCAAAGTAAATTCAGAGTGAATTTCACATTTAAGCTCAAAATAGCCGAATTGGAAAAAAAAATTCTAATTTGTTGTTTTTTTACATTTGGTTACACTGGCCTACAATTTGAAATTCACTTTAAATTCACTTCGAATTCTCACTTTAGTCAATAAATCTTTAAAGCGTTTTCTTTTTCTTTTTTTACTGCAGTGAAACAAACTAACAGGTTTATTAACTAGTGTGAGAATTCAAAGTGAAATCCAATGTTAAGGCCAAAGTAGCAAAACTGATTGAGAGGATTTTTCTAGTTTGGCTATTTTCACCTTAAACTCGAAATTCACAATGAATTCTCCTTGAATCCTCACTTTAGTGAATAATTCAGTAAGATAGCTGTACTATAGAAGCGAAACCAGCAAAAAATATTATACCAGGGTATCGTACATCTGGCCTGTGATTGGAGAAAAAAAACAAGAGTCAAATGGAGAGCGCGCAAGTTGGGGGTGTGGGTTGATAAGTAGCTGACAGAAATGATTACACAAGCATGTGTGTTATATATTATTATTATTTTATTATTTATATAGCGCCAACAAATTCCTTAGCGCTGTACAATGGGTGGACTAACAGACACGTAATTGTAACCAGACAAATGGACGCACAGGAACAGAGGGGTTGAGGGCCCTGCTCAGTGAGCTTACATGCTAGAGAGTGTATATCCATACAATGACATTATAGTTGTAGTGTAATAAGTATATAGGGACTCGATAATAAGGAGCAAAGTACTCATAAAACGTGTAGTGTGCCAAGAAGTCCAAATTCATATTTAGTCCATTATCTTTGGTATTCAAGAAAATTATCATTCAGGACTTAAATACCTTCCACTCATTTGTATTTTCAAAGTTCCCTTTGAGTATTGTGTTTCTCAGTTCCTCAATGGTAGTGTCTTTCTGTGTGAAGTAGTGTCCAACTGGCGTGCAGTAATAGTCTTCTTCGTGGTGTGTTATAAAGTGTCGGTTGTATATTCTTTCATTCAATTGTTGGATGGTTTCACCGTTTATAACATCGCTGGTCACATTTTCTGCATTCAATCATATCTACAACATTTCTTGCCAGTGATGGGTGAGGGGAAATAGCAAGATGCTACGAACAGACATTAATTAAAGCTCCACGGTTTGCCATATTTTACAAATAATTGATGGATACAGAAAACAATGTAGTCACTATTCTGTCTTTACTAATATATTTTTATATATATGTATATAGCGAAATTCTAACTCAATATATACCATTTTTCCATCTTTATGAAAAACCCTGAGTGACAGCATCGTGTTAAAAAGTTAAATGTTAAAAAGTGATACTATCTTTATTTAAGTCTGAATAATAGGTAAAGCGAAGCTGACTAAAAAAGTAACAAAACTGTTCTTTCATTCTACTTATGTTTAATCTTTACTAAACACATCCCTAACGAGGGACTTACAGTTCAAAATGCCCACCCGAGATTATGGTATGCCTGTGTTTTTTTTGGAGGAATTTTTTGCTGGTCAATCACTTCTGGTAAAGAAAACTAGAGTTGGGGATTTTATACATTTTGTAAACTATCTGTCCGTGGATCAATGTGTATTTTTCTATGTTTTTTCAACATTTCTCTTTGATCAGTCATGAAACCTGGTTGTAATAGGACGATTATTATGGAGAAAACTATTAATTTAGAGAAAAGGAAGTGTTTACATTTGTCCCTTAAGTCACCTCTAGTGGTTGTCCCTCATAAAACATCTAGAGAGGCCCTCCAAGAGTATTATTTGTTAAAACTTTTGCAGGGTAGCAGCATTTTTCCAGTAATGCCAGATCAGTCATTCATCCTTACTAGGTCTAAACTGGAACAAAAACAGAGAATATGAGAACTCTGAGAACGTGCAAAAGCTTAGAGAAACTCAATAGCTTGAGTCCAGAACCAAAATGAAGGCACGTTCTCTCTGCATGAGAAATACAGCAACAGTTTCAGACTGCTTTGGGGCTTGTCAGCAAGGTGCATTGCAACAAAACTGAGAATATGAGCAAAAGCTTAAAAAAGTCTCGCCCTAAACTAGAAGGTAATCCAGAAGTGGATCCCGTGCTCACTGTGCCTGGTAACAGCTACATCTCATTGGCAAGGCCCAAAAAAGGCTGAAATTATAGTCCGGGGTTGCTCTCTGATTTCAGTTCTGGACTGCCCGTACGGGTGGGATCAGTCTGATATGCAAATGGTGTACTTTCTCTTTGTAATGGCCCAAGTGAGCAAAAAACATTTTGAGACCTGAGCGTGGGACTAACCAAAGGGCAAATTACTGAGTTTCTCTATGTTTTTGCTCGCTTTTAGAATTCTCATATCTCTGTTTAGGTCTAAATTGAGTATCAGTGCTTAAGGCAGTATATATTCTCTGGTCATATTTGAGAAGAAGAACTAACTGATGTATCCCGTTTTTTATTATAGCTTTCAGTCCTGTGAAAGAATAATAAGGCACCACACTCATTGCCAGAGGTTGGCAATAGGCTTTAGAGTTTCTCAGTGAAATTTATATAGAGATGCCCAACAATAACCTCCAGAGATGGATTTAATTATACGATTAGGAACGCAATGCTATATACGGTCACATATTACATAGTTTGAAAAAAAAATACAATATAGTAATCGACAGTGTAACATTACAGCACATTAACGTCACCTTTAAATAGATTACCTGGCTCCATCCATAGAGTATTCCAAAGGGGTCTCTACCAGCAGCATGCTTACATGGGAGAACCTTCACCAAAACATGGAAAATATGATATGTCTCTCATAGCATAATGTCAACATCCTGCAAGTATTATGGCTGTGAAACTGATATATAATGCACTGTAAAAAATAATCATTTATCTTCACATCAAGCAAAACATGATGAACGTAAAGCTAAAATAATGGGTGTGAAGTCCAAAACGTTTCCCTTAAACAACGCTAAACCGGTTCTAAATAAAAGGAGAGAAGATAATTGTGATTACACGTGTGCGACTAGCTCTTTTGAAAGATAGTAAATGGTGTTCTGAAGTTTTAGAGTTTTACAATATTTGTCTATCTTAACTAGTCGTCAACCAAGTTACAGAGTACAAGGTCGCAATTCACTGTCTTTATGTCTAGTAATTAAGGGAGATAAGAGCCATTAGTGTTTCAGTCACTACAAAGGGAAGGAAACACGCTGTACAGGTAGCATTTCATTCTACCCTTAGAGGTCATCTAAAATGTCACCATTGCATTAAAATATATGATGCATGCATTTTTTAAACTGTGTTCTAATTTAACTTTTTATACTTTAGAGATTTCAAAAGTGATCTATTAAACTGAGAAGGGAATCCAATTCTGTGATAAAAGTAGTGCATATATTGTTCACAAATGTTCTCTTCAGCCATACAATGTAAATACAGCAAACTTAATTACAGTTATCGCTTCTTGACAAAAGAGAGGGTGCAATTGTCAGAATAAAAGGGCAGAGTGTTTAGAACATCACAGACATGCACCGGTTTTATCATATCACCGTCTAACATAGATTTGTTAAACATCCCTTTTTTGTGACCGTTTTGTGAAATTATCTTTAACCATCATATAGCACCATCTGTTTTTTTATAGTTTAAATTATTTTATATCTATGTATTTTAGGTGAATGTATATGTTAAAGTAATAGAAT